TAAAGTATGGAGAAAACCCAACACAGCTTTGGTAAAGTAAAATTTGGTAAGCTTTCTGTAATGGTTTGGGGTTGCATTTCGTGAAAAGTGTTGGTGAGCTCCGAATTTTCAATGAGGTGGTGACGTAGGAGTTTTACTTGGATATTCTAAAGAACGAATTGTCAAGGAGTGCGATAAGATTAGGATATGTTGACCATGAAAACACTAACAAATTAAGTTACAAATTGTACCAGGACAACGATCCCAAACATAAATCATTGCTGTGCAAGACGGGAATCCTAAACCCCATAGAAAATGTATGGGCTTTTTAAAAGAAACGAGCGGGCAAGCGGGGCCCAACTAATAAAAACGCTCTTATTAGAAAGATTGGAACAAAATACCTGAAAATTATGACTTAAACAACCTTACTTAGTCCATGGCCCATCGTCTTCGAGCTGTTATACAATAGATGCAAGTGGGCAACATACCAAATATTAGTACGAACACTGCTATATTTTCTCGGTATGGAATGTCAACCCCTCCGGGTGTATTTCTCATAAAACACCATCCGCCGTTCGAAGGCGACTTAGTGTAAGCTGAAGGTTGCTCCATTTGCTGGAAACACATCAAGATGCAAAACCACAAATTGGCGGAGGAGCTCGGCCGTAAAACGCTTTAGCTACTTGGATAAGAAGCTAGCGACTTACTTAAATTCGGCCAGAAATCGCTTCGGGAGTAATAAAGCGACCTTTGAATTAGATTCAACATTTCTAGACATTCATTTAAATGCAAGGGATAATAGATCTCAAAGTGTAATCAGTATCCAATGAAACTATTTGACAAAGATACGATACGATACACGGATACGAGGTGTGTTCAAAAAGTTAGGCGATCGAGTGTCAGTCATCTGAAGTTCATCAGCTTCAAATCCCATACGAATTAAAGTGTTGAAGATAAAGCTTTCGAAAGGTGCGCGCTCGAAGGCAGACAGGCTCAGTGCTTTTAAGGTGCTTTTCTCGAAGCTGTTGTCGTTCAATGTGGCTGTCGTTAAAAGTTCTCGAAAACTACTCAACCTGATCTTGATGGAATTGCACCCAGATCTTCGGCACACAATTGACAACAAATCGGCCGAGGGATTGTTTTTTTTTAAATGACAATTATTAAAATGAAAAGAATGTTTAACCAATTTTACTAAATTTTGCATCTTGCAAAAAATAAAAATGAATTGCCAAAAATCCAATTTTCATTTTTTTTCTTCTTTATCCAAATTCTCGTTTGACTAAAACACAATTTTTTCACACCGGATGGAGTTCTACTATCAATGCAGACGCATCAGTTTGAAATTTTCAGAATTTTTTTTCAAAAGTATGTATATCTTTAATGTAAGTAAAAAGTTTGGGTAAAATATTACATGGCTGATGTTGGCGCAGTGGTAAAGCACTTGTCTGTTAAGTCAGGATCCGTTGGTTCGATACCTGCCGTAAGAAATTCGATGCGGAGATGTGGTGATCTCCGAAACACCTGTCACTTCTGCCATTTTTCCGTGTTGTATAATAAAAAATATTCAATTCATACCTCTCGCTCACTAAAAACTTATAGTAAAATATTTTATGTTATAAATAAAAAAAAATGTTTTAAAAAGACATTCTTTTCCGATGAACCCATGTAACCCCTTAAGACGACAGGTGTTTTATCCGTTTCATATATTGTACATATATTATATATATATATATATATTTTTTTTATTTTTTTTTCATTGTATATATGGATGCCCTGTTTTTATTTGCGGCCAAAATGTGGCCCTTTAATGGGTCCTTTTAATCTTAGGAACGGATAAGGTGGCTGAGGCAGGATTGCGCTGTTGTTTTGGACATTTTCGCCTGCAGTTTTAACACAACCGCTGATTCGATTTCATTAACGAAAGTGCCTGAGGCATTACAAAAACAACCCATAGTTTAATGACTTAGAGGGAGAGAAATTTGGAAAGTCACTTTATTTTTTGTACACATCTCGTATATACCAACTCTGGCGTAAGAACCTAAATGAATGAAATAAAAATAAATTGTGAAAAAATGAAATTCTCGTGAACATGCATGCATACATACATACTTATGTACGAGTATATACGTAAAGCGTGCCAAAACCATATTTTCAGTTTAATCAATATCTAAAAATAAATCAAAGCTGTAACCATCTCCACAATGCAGACAATTTTGAATTATTATGTATAACCGAACTCAACTATTTGCAGAGCGTTTGTCTTCTGTTCACTTAACGATTTTTACAACACCGTTAGCTATACTATACATACTTCTTATCAGCCGTGCTACAGCATCCATGATATTTAAAAATATGGAATACAACTGCGATGACTCAACCTACAACAGTTAATGTACATATATGGAATAATCAACGCCTAGGGATCATGACTGACTACTTAAAATTAAGTAATGCATGATGGAACTAGTGATTTTTAGCCCCTGTTCTGGGATTTTTTTGGAGAATTTTTATTATTATTCAATTAACACACGCAGAGATTTTGGATCTCCCTGCCGATAATTTTGAATGTTGGTATGGCCAGATTTTAAACTCTGTCTACAGTAGCACTGGAATTTTTGTCTTAGCGATGGTAAGCTGCTAACTAGAAATGCTGTTCCACAGATTGCCTATCCACAAATGTATTACAGTGGCTTCAGCAGCATTGGTCTCAACCACCGCGAAATGGAGCTTTTCTTCTTCCTTTGCTTCCACCAGCCAATAATGCAGCGAAAATTTTCAGAGCTGGTGTGTTTTCATCTACCCAAGCGAAATGGCCTACCTAGCGAAGTCCCTGTCACTAATTCTCTGAATTATGTCAACGTCGTCGTACATCTCGCATCGTTCCATCGTCTGCGGTATTCGGCAATGTTCAAAAGATCATAAATATTACGCAAAACGTTCTTTCGAAATCTTCTCGCGCCGACTCAGATGTCGACATAGTCCACTCACCCGCACCATATACATAAACGAAAGCGAATGATGTGAGACTTGTACAATTTTGTTTTTGCTCGTCGAAAAAGGACTTTGGTTTTCAATTGTCTACTAAGCCTAAAGTAGCATAAAAGTTATGACTTTCATCAGTGGCGTATTACACGTTAATTGGCGCAGACTAATAAAAAATCCTGCCTTAAAATCCGGCACACGAACGCTACTTATTAGCGGAGGAAAACATCTCAGACGTGGGAACGATGAGTTTTAAAAGAGACGCAAAAGATTATACGGTTGGACGATAACACCATGGATGGGAACAAAGTAGCTTCAAGGTTTCCATTTGGCACCAAAAATCAAAAGAGGAAAAAAAAAACAAAAGATGTGGCGCACCGCTGTTTCGGCTACAATAGCGTGGGTGGTGCCTACACCAACGAAAAAAACAAAATAGTCGAAGTGGGAGTGGAGTAGAAAAATGTTATCTGTTAAAATTGCAGCTTTTAGACGAAATGCTTCTTAGCTCTATTCACTCAGAATGGTCGCAGACCACAATTGATATTTACTTTTCGACATGATAGCGGGTTTACAAAAGCAAATTATATGTATGCACATATGTATGTATGTAAGTGATTCGAACTGGGAGAATGTCGTTAGCCCTAAATAAAAATAAAATCGATCTATTTAAATTTTATGAACTTTTTACCGACATTATTTCGCACAGAATGAATTGAATCGCAATGCTGATTTATTCTATTTTGGTGGTTAATTAAACTTCACATTAAACGATATTTGCCATCTGTCAGATTTTAAACTTTTTCGGAGCGACTCTGTTTACATAATTTCTCGATTGTCCAAATGTATACGTAAGTATGTATGTACATGTGAACATCCATACTCGGTATATACAATTTAACTGATGTACAAAGTGTGGAAAATATGCGTGCGAACTCAATTGTATAATATTTTAACGATAATGAAACAACAGTTAATAAATGCTCCTAAAGGACGTACAGCAATTTATTTACATACTACACGTACATATTATATAGGTTCACAAAAGAGCACATGTGCTTATACGTACATATATATTTACATACACATATGTATATATTTGTGCGGGGTGATGTGTAAACGCATTTCCGCTGGTGTATACCACACAGTTATATATACTTACATACATATACATACGTAGGTTTATAGATACACACATATGTATGTATATATGTATGTACATGCATAAATAGCGAGGGCGTATTCAATCCAAAATATACATATTTATATATTTATTGTACATACCTACGTAGTTACATAAATATAAATATACGATTAACTAGTGCGCAAGTATCAGTTATCGTTACTTTAGATTTCTGCATTGTTAATGTTTACACTTTGCACTTCAAATAATTTCATTCATAACGCGTATGCGACATAATTAAACTAAAGTCGACCAACGGTACCAATAGAACACAACACCAAAGACGCCATCACACAGCGATATATGTATGTATGCATGTAGATATTTCACATTGATTTCGTCATTGCATTACTTTTTTTTTATCTACTCAATGGAATTAAATCAAATTGCATAAACAAATGCTAGAAATAAGCATTTAACAACGATTTGCTCCCGCTGTATTGTTTGTTTCTACTCGTCCGCCTCACACAACTTGTTCATATGTATACTTGTACTCCAATAGTCGACTTGACTGCTTGTCTCTTTGCCGCTCAGCATTCCCATATATGAACATATACAGACATACATGTATTCACAGATATGAATACATACATACATACTTTTCACAAGTACTACATATGTATATGTAAGTATATATAAATATACTGTGATTTTTGCGATTTTCAAACGAATCGCACTATATTTATGACAGATTGAGGGAGGAGAAGCGCACCGAATATCCGTATTTAGCGCGTACACCTTTAAATTTGTTCGAATAAATGTTAAAGCTAACACACATATCCAGACCCACACCCAAATGAAAATATTCAATTTTGTTTGTATGTTTCCTCTTTTGGTTTTCTGTATATTTTATATTTACTTGTTTTCTTCTAAGATATTCACCGACTGCGAAGACTCATGTCCGCACCGTATCACTCTCGCGTATAAACTATTTATGCTTTTTGCATGCTCGGCAGTGCTCAGTCCGTGTTGGCCGTGTGGATACGCTCCAAAGCTCGTGCAAGAATTTTTGTTTTATCAAATAAGTGAGCAATAACCACAAAATACATTCATACATATGTATGTTGTGTTATAACTTTGTACATATCTATCGTCACAGGCCGTATCCGCCTAAGCTCGATTCTCCCATTGTGAGGGAGAGCTATTTAAAGCTCAAAACTTTCAAACACTACATTCAATAGCTACGATAGTAAGTTTTGACAGATAATTTCCGTTCAAATAACACGAGAAGAAGAAGAGTTGGCACTTTTGAGATTTTAACAAACTGTATGGTGCACATACGTGTAAAATGTTTCATTTCGAGTACAACTCGAGTTAGGCTTTTATGGCTTGTTGCCGTTGATATATCCAAAAGTATCTAAGTATGGGTATGTAGGTGCTTTAATGGCTTGTGCTGCCAGATAGATATTACGACTAAATCCATATATTTTTATATCCAACTGTAAGATTTTTGTATGTTAAATTTTCCCCATTTAAGAAAGTAATAAACTATGCTCCAATAACCTTTTAATTGCTTTCATCTTATCTTGACTCCAGCAAATTGGTCTATATATATAATAATATAATACAAAACATAACAGTTCTAGACTAAATTTAGATTTTTTTGGTGAAAAATCGTTATCGCCGCGGGGAAGACAACCTGAAAAGTATCAGAATAATTTTAACCTCTAATGAACAATGAATTCTTTCGCTTTGCTTATTTTTGACACAGTGTGAATTTCATATTATATAATGGTGATTTTGCTTCGCGAAATTATTACCTCCAGCAGAGCCATACATAACTTTCTTGCGAGTTTATTCGTTTCTTAACTTCTAGCCCTCTACTCCTGTAAGTAGGCTATGTTTTCTCCTGTCAATGCATATTAAAGAGTTGCCCACCAGTTATTGATTTGAGATGTGACTTCTCGTGAAAGATTGAAATATTATTATAGGTGTAATTCAAATGAACAAATCTTGCATGAATTTCCTTACACCCTTTTAAAAGCTGATTATGTATATACCAAATGTAGGATAATGTTTATGTAGTTTGATTTTTAATGCAAAAAATCGCAAGAATTGCCGGAAACAACGCAGTAACAGCGTGATTTAGTCAAAAATTATAAAACAGATGCTGGGTTGCATAATGAAAAATGTATACGGTTTCTCAGGAAAAAAACGTATGAGTTTTTGGTGACACAGCAGGGAAACGTTGTCTTATAATAATAAATATCTTTTATTAGTTTATGACTTCCTCGAGTAAATTATTTATGTTCTGACAACTTTGTCCAATGCTAATTTATAGTAGGTTCTATTGCCTACGACGCACACATGTACATATGTACATCACGTTTTAACCTCTACGTTGAGAGTCATAGCTTTGAACTTGTAAACCAATTCGTTTATCTAAGAATTAGTATCTTCTACTTTAAGTCCAATACAAATTTCTTTAATATGGATGTTGTCGAGCATATTAAAATTTAGCTGCCGTGGTGAATATATATAACTATATGATATTTCCGCAAAATATACTACACTAAACTGGATTGGAGAAGGAGGACAAATACAACAGCCCCCCTGTATTTGGGTTTTGCTTTAGAGTCGCGGCTGTCAAAATCAAATAACTTTAATCGGGTTTTCAAAACGCTTAAACTTTCCCGCAAACCACCATCACAAAATCACAACAAGTTTTTCACACTTACAAAAAGAAAATCAAATGAAATTCTAGCAAACAAAACATGAAGTGAAGAAAAATTTTGACAATCACTACGTTCAATGCATGAAAAAACTTGAACTCGATGCCAGTAGCTTCAACTTGTTAAATTCAACTTGGTTTAAATGGAAAATTTAGAAACGTCCCTCAAAGCACGCGAGTTCTAGTTTTTATTTCATTTGTATCAGTGTGAGTTTGCCTTAATAATCATCTGATTAAATGGAACCACCTTATGTGAATTGGCCCTTGCGTGTTAGCTGTCAGTTAGTTAAATAACAGACGTCAACAAATTTTTTGTTGTTGTTGTCGCTCGTTTTGTTTGTACAAAAACGTTCTTAAAGCTGGTCTTTTATAAGTATTTAAAATCGGAATATTTATGCAAAATCGGAACACAAATCAATTTTTTTAATTAACAAACTAACGCAAAAATGGAAACTGCGCCAGAAGCAGTTAGTCGATTACCCTCTGGCGGAGTAACAGAAGAGTATCTTCAGTGTCCTACGTGTGAGTGCAAGTTGCAGCAATGGGAGGTAAAAGCCCATTTTGAACAAGAAATGGAACGCTTGAAACATTTACAGAATAAAGCTGTGAGTGAAGCAACTGCCGAATTATTCCAACAAAGCGCTAGTAATGCTGTGGCTCAAAGAGAGGAGCGACGTAAACCTTGGACAATATTTCAGCGAGTACAAAGGAATCGGCATTCGCGCATAAAGGTTTGTGAAGGGTCAATAAATATGAATTGTTACTATGTAGAAAATCTCTTACAGCGAAGAACCGGTAAGCGACCAGCACCACCAGCCGAACAGCAGTGCCCAGTATGCAATGCCAGCTTTTCGCTAGAAGAAATCCAACAGCATGCTGAACAATGCTTACGTTGGAGGAGTGGTACCACTAATGGCCGAGATGGTGGTGGAAGTTCAAGCAATGAAGATGAAGATACTGAGGAATATGAGGAATATGAATGGGCCGGTCAAAAGCGCATACGTGCATCAAGCTTACTGCAAGGCGGTTATGCCGCCATCGGCATAGGACAGAATGTGGGAAACAGTGCCAGTGGTAGTGTTCAAAATTCAAATCAGGCTGGTGATGATGAAGAAGAGGATTTGAATGTTGATGAGGACGACACGCAAATCTATGGGCCAGCGCAATATGCGGAGGCTGATGTCATACCACCCACTGGGGAACAAACCAGTGCAGAGAGTGATGTAACTAGCTATATGCGCCGACTAATAACTTGTCAGGATGCAAAGGCACCCAATAATGGATTGGAAGAATTCCGTCGGCCGAATGTGTCTATGGTTAGGAGTAATCAAACGTGCGTTCCCCCGACTGCCGCACCTTCGGCTGCAACTACCACAAATATACTGACTGAAAATGAACAAAAGAATTACCCGCAAATAATCGAATCACTAAAACTGAAATTACGCCAATGCGAAAATCAAGGGCAAAATAAATTCAAATGTTTAATTTGTTTGGACGATTATAGAAATCCAGCCATTTCGGTTGCATGCTGGCATGTACATTGTGAGGAATGCTGGCTCCGTTCACTGGGCGCACGTAAACTGTGCCCACAATGTAATTTGATCACCACGCCAAAAGATTTACGAAGAATTTATATGTAAAATATTTTAACTTTTATTCGGAATAGTCTTTGCTTATACTATTTTACGTTATCAATTTCTATTTTTCAAATTTAAATTCTATACCTATAATGTATGTAACTATTTTTTGCAATTCTCTTATATATAACACTAGTTTGAGCTATAATAAGGAGAAAAATCATTAAATATTTTATTTTATTCCTAAGAAAAATAACAATATAAGCTGTGCAGCAGTTACAATAAAAATACAAGACAAACTAGCTTTAAGAAGCTATTATATACATATAAAATATTATCATTAACCAAATTAATGACTGGCGGATACTGGACTTTGTATTCGGCTGGTACGTAAGTTAGCAATGGATAGCATAAACGATAGTAACATTCTCGGAATATTTATTTATGGTATAAAAATTGCTTATTAGCAATAAATGTTTGAAGAGAGGTAAATAAGTAGAACAGAATTGATATAAAAATACCTTCAATAGGTAACGAAACTACTTGTTTTCCATTTTTCGCCTTAGAAACGTTGAACGGTGTTACCCGAAAAGCGTTTGAGTTTGTTTGATGCTAAAACTTTGAACATTGATAAATTTCAAAATAAGAATTCATCAAAATAAATATCATAGCTTTTGTTGTGTACTTTTGAAAGCAATTGTCACATATGCATATATAGCTGTGTGTGTGAATAATAGTTTGATAACCGGCATTTTGTAAGAAACACCAAAAACGCCCCTACTATTTAATTTTTCGTAATTTCGTTTTGTGTTTTTCCACTTTCGCACTGTTCTTCCGTTCGTAAATATTTACGCCAGAGAACGTAACTGATTTATTATACGGCCTTTACTTATGCCTGGATCAAAGAACGTAATTCTCTGTTCTCTGTTGACAGTGTATTTTACCAGAGCATGTAAATATTATATAATTTCTGATTTTATCAGGCATCACGTAGGATAAATCAAGGGATATAAACGGAAAATCTGCTTTGTAATATATAATTTCTTGGATAACTCTAATTTCTAAAACAATTTTGAATGTTAAATAAATACTACTGTACGATTTCGTCCCATTTTGACAGATCGCTCAGCTGTTTCGTCGCAGCGTTAATTTTATTAAGGGCGGCGTTAAATTGTAACAGTATCCGGCGCAGTAGTTTGGACTGTCGACAACGCGGATTTAACGCAAAATTGTGAACGAAGATGAAAACAAATCAAAAACATATTTTTTATTATGTTTCGGTGCAAATTGTTTAAGACTAATGATATTTGGTGCGTAAGGAAAGTTGCAACATGAAATTTAAAAATACAAATAGTGAAATAGAATATTCTTAACACGTCAAATGGATGGTGATATATTGAAATGTCTGCATATATGCTTCCACATATGTATGTGGAGGAACGGAAACGGGTGAAAAAAGCTGGAGGAGATAGAGCAAAGAGTAGCGAACAAAAGAAGTAGCTAGAAACTCGTCCAAAGTAGAAGAGGTAGAAAGCGTAGCGATAGTAATAACTATAAAAATAAATATGTGTATATTATACCTGTTAACTAGAAGAGGTGGAGGATCTGCGGAAGAAGGAAAGAGTGTAAAAGGAATTGAAATTGACGCAATAAACGAACAAACTACGAGAGCAAGTGAATGAAAAGCTGCAGATAAATGGATGGCAATTACAAGAGAATCAAAGAATTCTCTGCCGAATTGGAAGATAAAATATGTGCAAATAGTATTTTATTAGTTCTTACTAAACGAAATTGGAATAGTGCATAATATAAAAGCATAAAAAGATATACTAGTGTAACACGCTAAGTAATTTCAACGAAAAGGAGCCAATAGAGTGGCTGTGCAATAGTAGTGAGTGCAGTGCAGTATTGTGTCGCCGTATCTGTGTGTGGTTGGGCGTGTTTATGTGTATGTGTAACCGAGAATACGGGTAAAGGCAAAAGTGAAAACTTGCTTTTTTGTCGTAGTCGTTGTTGCCATCATCGTTGTTCGTTGTCGTTGCTGTATATTTTAGCATTTTTCGCGACGGCAAAACTACGAATGTATTTAGCTAACCAGCCAACCAACCAAATACCTTGCTATCCAGTTTTGGCCGCGGCTTTATATTCAGCAATAAAAAGATAAAGTCAAATTCCTGGAACTCGATTTCGCGAAATTGAAAGGTACGCGCGTGTTTTTCGCACATTCTACACCAAAATTTTTAAGACGATATTGTGGTCGTTCAGGACTGATTTGAAAATATAATAGTTATTACTTTAAAGTGTTTGGAAAGGTTAAATAGTGATACTTATGCGAGTGAATTGGAAACGCTCCAAAGTTTTATTTGCACCAAGGGGGGCCGTTCGACCAACCATCGGCTTTGCCACCGCAGCGCGAAACCACAGAGGCGGGATTATGTCATTTTATATGTGGCTGCTTATTGTGTGTGTTTGTAAAATTCCATCTAATTAATAAATCGGAAAGCGATGAAGCGCCACAACGAATCAAAATCATTAAATGAATATACCATGTAGGTACATAGATACATTTTCTTTAAATCTACAGTGTTAAAGTAATGACACAAGCTTTCAAAATGTACTAATTTAGTTGCAATGAGTAAAGTATATACAACTTCAAAAGAAAAAATAAGAATAGTGCGTTAAAACTTGGCATTGCAAAAATGTATTCAGTGGATTTGCGTCGCAACTCTGTCGCTGGCGACGTACTTCGCAAATATTTTCATACTAGTTAGAGCTTTGAGAAATCAACAAAATACAACTTACCGACGGCAAATCATTTGTGATGAATCACTTTGTATGCCTTTTCGCTACCCTGGCTGGCGGTTTTTAATATTAAAAATTTAATTTGAATTAATAAATAAGTTTAGAATATAATTTGCTGGCAATTAAATGGCAACATTCAGTGGGCACAGCGCTACCACCGCTACGGATTTGTTGGGATCCTCGGTAGCAGTCGCTGCTGCAACAGAGCATTACGAACGCAGTACATCTGCGGCTACTACAACATTTTTGCTCCCGTCCACAGCAACCCCCAACGGTACACCGTTGCATTTAGATCCCTTTAGTCTAGCTGGTGGTCCTCACTTCGTCACAACCACTACATCACCATTGGGTGGTGCAAATATAGCTCATCACCATCATCAACCGCATCAACAGCAACATCACCATCACCAACAAACTAATTCCACTTCAACCAGTTATACATTCGTACAAATTAAACGCGAACCTTGCCAAGTTTCGGAGGTCACCTCAGCCAATTGTCATCAAACCCAACAGCAACAGCATCATCAACAGCATCACGTATCTACATCATCGACAGGTGGTAGTGGTATTGGTATTGGTGTTGGCATGGGCGTTGGAGTAGCTTCATCAACATCCAGTTGTTCTGCTTCCATATCAGCTGCTTCCAAAACAATGTCATCATCGTCTACGCTAACAACGCTAGTGAAGATTGAGGCTTCCTCACCGAAGGTGAACGAAATGGATAAAACAGCCGCTGTTAATACACTTGCCACAGCGTCAACAGTATCCGGCACAAGTATGTTGAAAAAATAAAAGACAAAAAATTTATACCGTTTTATATTGTTGCCCCACATACATACATAGATATGTAGATATAAGTACATGTACATTGTACACATATATTTATGTTTAATCACATACATAAGCACATTGCTTAATGTTATTACTAAATGGATTTTCTTCTCCTTTACCTTAAGATAATGCAGTACCTATTGGTATTGCAGTGGCGCGTAAGCGGCCACAGGAAACGCCGGGCGCACTCACTAATACGGCAGCAATTCCAGTACAACAGACGCTTAACAAAGATATGAACTGCTTTGGCATACGGGTTGCTGATTTGGGTAAGATCACTTTGACAATATTTCTTAAAACAAATAAATCATTTCAAAATACGTGTACATGTGTAGTATATGTATGTACATATGTGTATCAGTTTTCGGATGTGAATTGATTAGTAGTTAAATATACATACATATGTATATGTTATTGTGTTTACTCTGTTACCCGCCCCTAAGGTAAAAACGACAAGTTATTGCACCAATCGTATGTAATATTTTTTTATCCGAAGCTCTTTATTTCTCGAATGAAAATAGCTTCTTTCTTTTACGAAAGTAAATAAGGTTGCTCTGTTATCAGGTCAACATTATCAGCATAAAAATGGCAGCACTTGGTATTTTACGATGACAATATTAAAGTACTTTTTGATGTGAATTATATTCTATCAAAAAATATTCGATTGCTAACGAACTTGTATATACGTACATATGTAGGAAATAATACATGAGCACTCCATTGCAAAGATGAGTTAAAGAGGGATCTTGCTTCACTTGAAACGTCAGGCGACAAAAATCAATTAATAAAGAGTTAAAGGAGTCAGATTGCTAACCCTAGCAAAGTTACAACAACCTTCCTGACTTAGAGACTGTTTGTGTCGCCTCATTGTCCTTCGACCACGACCGTTTTCATTTGACTTTGCTGTAAGGGATCCACTATTAATCAGCAGTCACCATCCGATTCAGAAATGAGTAGATTCTCTTACGATTCGGCAAAGATTCGCTGATGGCAGTTCGACGAAATTGTACATGTTAAACTTCTATCGTAATAGGACCATAATACCATTTATATTTTCAGCTGCTTGACTTTCGTTTCGACATGCGCTCAAGACTGCTGAGTTTAGTGATCAATACTTCTCAGTTTATTTTTTTAATACAAAATACCATCATTTATAGAATGCGAGATACAGATAACTAAAGCTGTATATTTCAAAAATAATGTATTACTTTTTACTAGACAAAACAAAACGAGCCAACCGTATCCGGCTAAAATTATTGTTATTATTTCCTCAAACACCAATTAACAAAACTCTGGTATACAAATGTAACATAGAATCAGAACAGGTAGGTAGTATATGCATTCTGATAAAAACATTAAAAGGTATGAATTGCGAAAAGCAATAGTTATTTAAAAAGATTCAGTTATGCAGGGATTAGCTTCAAATTAAGTGGAAAATTAAACAGTTTTTTTTTTTTTTTTGTTACCATTTCAAAATTTAATTCCATTAGCTCTGATGATGTGGCCACAACAATTCGTAGATTTCGTAACCCGTTAAACACCACAATGTGTCTCAAGTATAGAAGCTGTGTGATTATGATTATGTACGATCCGTTTATCTCGTGTCCCCACTCGATTTATTCCGTTCGAGCCATATTGAATTTCCTTAACACATCTCAAAAAATACATTTCAATAGGAAACATGCTTGGCACGCCCCCCTTTCCACATACGCATACATACGCAATGAGAAACACCTTAGCTATTTTTTATTTTGGTTTTAAGTGTATATTATTATTATTTTTTAAGAACATGTGCATACATATGTATATATATACTGTGCATCTGTTAGAAGCCAAATATTTAGCTGTACTTAATATAAGTATCAAGGCGAATTTACGTGAATTTGCCTTGTATAAGTGCATTAGTATGTATATAGGAAGCCTGAGAATATTTTGTTTTCTTTCATCTAAAGTTTATTAGTGCTTCCTTCATTGAATTTTTTCAAATTTTTATAAGCGAAAGCGAATCTCTTTTACAGCTCAAAATTATCTCTTTTATGCGGGCTGACTTTCGTACACTTAAACGTATTGTATATATGTAAAAGCATATAAAAATGTCAACAATTTGTTTTTTCATCGTTAAAATGCGGGCTCTACACACAAAATATACCATACATACATATTTACATATGCCGCGCATGTGTCTCATTGGCCATAACATTTCATGTAGCTTGCAGGGCTTATTATTGTAGTAGGTTCGTTTCGAAAGTCAATAATAATTAACCGGTAGCTAAATTCAAAGAGACTCAATACTCAAATTTTCTAAAGCCATTTCAAGAGAAATAAAATTTGCTAGTATAGCACGAGTAATTGGAAATTTATTTGCAGAAATCGGATTGCAGATGAATTCGTGCAGGCAGACCCTGCAATTTTATGAAACTAAATTGCTGATAGTAGTTCCAGTTAAAATTGAGATTTTTTGACAGCGACATGCAAAACATTAAGATCAACAAAGTAAAAATAATAAAATAACGTTCGCTTCCTTTTTTGTTTCAAAATTACTCATAATAAAGAACTAGCATCATTTGGTTTTTATGTGATTTCGATTTTGTATATTAAAATTTTAACACCACGAGACTGAGACATAAGCAAAATTCGATTTTCGATTTTTTTTGGCTATCGAACATCGAAGATCGAATTACTGGTTCGTGTTAAATCGAGTTGCGATCGGTATCGAAAATTTCGATAGTTCGGGAGTCGGTAAAGGAATTTGCCAAAAATTCAGACTTCGAGAAAATAGGAAGAAATTACACTGCAACAGAATTGTCGAGGATTAAGATAAACATATGAATTCCGTAGAAATAATTTTCAGTTTTTGTTATTTTAACCTTCATATTTAATCGTAGCTGACAGAAAAATATCATTGTGAATAGTCCAGTTAATCGAACCAAACGAAAATTCATTCGGTCAGCTCTTTCGGCCACAGTCGACGATCGAATGCAACTCATAATCGGGTCTTAAATGCTAAAATTCTTCATACTTATTGTACAAATAAGCAGTTCAGCAGACTAAATGTTTTTCTGATGAATGATTACTACTTCTACTGATCAGAGTTGCCAGAAATAAAAATTAAAAACTAAATTCAATGATATAGATATCCTGCTGCAGACGGGGGTAGAATCTTTCTGTTTAATGTGATCGCACCTCGACAGAAACTACAGGTCTCTAGATTTGTGGGACGCACTAATTCAACCTTTCAATAATGTTTGTACCTGGTTTGATGAATTATAGTCTTAAAAGACTGTTAATAAAAATAAATAAGGCAAACTAATACGTCGGACAGTTTAAAATAACGCCTATAACATATTGAACCCCTATTGAATTAACTGAATGTCGAAAGATGTGCCACATATCGAGTAATTTTTGAAAATTAATTTTTCTTAAGCCCTTCCTTTTTACTCTTACGACAATTCTTTACCCGTCTAGACAGAATACCTCTTAGATTTACTACATTAACTTATGATTATTGCAAGATATTTCAATTTTAGGTTGTTTTTGAAATGTGTATAGAATTTTTCGCCATGCCACCGTAATAAGCACCTGATTTTGTTGGCTGAAATCCTTGATGTTGGAAAGCTTGTCAATGGCATAGAACTTTAGGTTGCAGTGAGTCTTCGAATTTTGAAAACATTACAATATTCAGAAATTAAAAAGTTACACAAATCTGTTGTTGTTCAAATTGATTGATTAAACTTTCATGAGGTCTCAAATTGCTTTGTTAAATTAATAAACTTTTCGGTTTTTTTTTTTTTACAATGCAAATTTTGAATTAAAATTTAGATTATTAACCCATCCAATCATTAATGTGTCAAATTTGTTAGAAATCACCTCTTCGAAAAATTTTGGAAAATGTTTTAAATAAGAATCAACACTAATATGAACCTTTTTGTTGACTAGGAATGCATCGTCCGGAAAAAGATCACGGCTTAAATGCGTTCAACTTTTACGATTATTAATAAAAAAAAAATGTATCGAACTCGTTTTAAATTTCAGCCAAACGGCAACTCTAAGTCTTAAGTCATTATTTATGTATGTTCAACATTTATATGTACGAGCATGTCTTTATATCCGCCCTCTTCTCTTCTTTGATTAGTCAAAAGTTTATACTTTAACTTTTATTATTAATTTCTACAACAATCACTTCGACATAATGCCTACGCATAAAAAAATATTTTGGTGGTTGAATGAAGCGGATGTGGAGTGAGTGCTTTGCCGGAAGGAGAGTAAATGAAAGTGAAGAGGTGGGCAGTGCTCGTTGGTTGTATTGGTGGTTGCTTTGATGAATGGTTGAGTATGTATTTATTCATTTGAGGATACCTTTAGTTGATCGATAGAGCTGCAAGGGGTTTGGGGTGCGCGGAGTGTTTTATAAGTGTGTCGTTTAATATGTCTCATTACGGTGTTGATTTAAAGCACTAACAAGATTATTTCAGTTCGTCATGGGAATTCCTTCATCATCAGTTATTTTTGTTGTGGGTTTTTGGGTGGTGGAATTGTGTGGAACGCAAATTTTTACTTGAAGTTTATCAGCTTTGGTGTCCTTTTTTGTTTTTTTATTCACAACTAAAATAAGTTGCTAAATGAATTTGTGAAGTGGATTCTTTAGAATATCTCGAATGTGGGTGGGAGCTATCGCCTGTAGCTGATTTTGGATATATGCATGTATTGGTATTGAATGAGCAGCGTGTGATCTATAGCAAAGTGTACAGCTGCTATATGAATGAATACCAGAAGCTCACTTTCACCGGAACCCTACACGTATCTTCAATCATCCTGTCTCTGAATGTATACACAATCCCGTCGCTAGCCGGCTGTCTGCTGAAACAAAAAGTCGTAGATAAATGGAATATTTATGTAGCTTTTTCGTGAATAGTTAAGCAGCATTTGCAGTTTCTTAGTCCTGGCCTCCTCTGCTGACATTGCACAAGTATATGTACACGATTTGTCCATCCTTTCTTCTGTTACATGCTTTGTTCTGTTGCTTTCTTGTGTACTTGCCTTTGCTCAAGCATAACTTGAGCATAACACCCCCGCAAGCGTCGTTCGTTGACTTTACCCCTACACAAGTAAGTGAAAGTCTAGGATTGCCTTTCTTTTCAACCGCTGCCCTCACATTGCAACCTTATTCTTCGTTTCGTTCAGCACCACCACTACTTAGGAAAAATCATATGGTATCGGCGTTATTATTTGCACAGGGGTATGTATTTACAATGTTGTTCGCCGAAGTCAT